AAAAAAAAGCGTACATAACAAAGGTGATTCGAACAATGTCAGATCTGGTGTCTAAGTGTGTCTTGCGGCTGGAAGTTACTGGAAACAGTGAGCAATACTTTCTTGTCTTATGAAATACATTTACTTTATTAATATAATTTATTTCTTTCCAGAGGAAGTCTTAGGGGCTGAAGCTATGGATGGAAACTCCAAAGCCAGGGGTCAAAGATTGGCAAGAGATATTAGTGTGGAGACCTTCCCCAGCAAATTAGAGAGCCCCAGAGATGATTGGGGCATGATTCCAGCACACAGTCGTGAGGCCACACCAAAGTTAGATGTATTGGATGAGCAGACAGAGATTGGGTTCTTCAGTGGTAATCCTTTTGTAGAGATTACCAAAGGCATTCTTCATTTGTATAAGGAAGAGTAAGGATTGTGCTATTGTTTGGCAATGAGTTATAATTAAATAAAATTGCAGTATTCTTAGCAGCAAAGATGAAGCGCTTACACTATGTCTGTTGGCGGTGCCCACTTCTATGACGTGCCATGATCTGCTTGGATTCACCGCTCCATGCCATTCGGAGATAGCACATATCCGAGTACTCAGAGACCGTCTACCAAATCAGTACATGGCTTTATTAACGTAATTCAATTGATGTTTCTTTTTTCGATTTAGGTGTTAACCAATTTGAGATTGCAGGTTTCGCACGCATCCATCAGCCAGAGAATTTTACGAGACCTTCAATGGAGCACCATTCAACTCATTGGAACCAGATGTATTGTGTAGGGCTGTTTGGGTTTCAAAAGTAGAGTGCGCGCAAGATGATCTTCCGCCACCTGGGCACACAGAATTACCCATCTGTCCAGTCTGCTTAGGTCAGTACAAATTTGCTAATGTTGCGTTGTATTGAACATTGTTGATTTACAGAAAGGATGGATGAGTCTGTGGACGGTGTCTTGACCATACTTTGTAACCACACCTTTCACTCGAGCTGCCTTGACCAGTGGAGCGACTCGACTTGCCCTGTATGCAGATGTGTGCAGAGTCCAGAGCAGGCTGAGACGTCAGAATGCGAGAGATGCGGTAAAAGCGAGAGCTCGGCACCATCTCCGGACGCTCTTTGGATCTGTCTCATCTGTGGGCACGTAGGCTGCGGCAGGTATCAGGGAGGCCACGCTGCATCCCATTATCGAGAGACAGGTCACTGCTATGCTCTACAGCTGGGCTCTCATAGAGTTTGGGACTACAAGGGAGACAACTTCGTGCATCGTCTATTGCAGAACAAGGCTGATGGTAAACTGGTCCCAGCTGAAGGCCCTATTCCCGAATCTGAGCAGGCACAGGAGAAAGTAGACTCCGTTCAGTTGGAGTTTACCTATCTGCTGACATCGCAGTTGGAGGAACAGCGGATGTACTTTGAAGAGAAGCTTGTGCAGTTCGACTACCAGGCTTCCGAGGAAACCAAATCTCTTCGTGACAGGTTGAGTCTAATAGCGGAGGAGAACAAGCAGTTGAAGAGTAAATTGGCGGTGTCTCAGAAAGAAAAGTCTGCTGTCGAGCGCCGTCTCGCACAACAAATTGCCAAGCTGAACACAACGTTGCAGGCTCTCAACGACGAACGCCACTTGGGCAAGGCGCTCCGCAGCAATCAAGAACAGTACCACAAGAGGATGACCAAGCTGGAAGGAAAGCTGGAGGAGCTTGAGGCCACACGCAAGAAGCAGATCGACGACCTCAAGGAGCAGCTTAGAGACGTCATGTTCTATATCGATGCCAAAAACGTAAGCTATTAACGTAATTTTTGATACTGAAATATCCATAACTATTTTTCATTTTATTTCAAGACGATCGACAAGTCTGATCTAAAGGAGGAAATTGCTGAGGGCAGTGTGACCATAGCAGACGCGCCACCACCGAAAACCAAGAATCGCAGGCGCAAGAAGTAGTAGACGCGTTCCTGATAATGACTATTAGCGCATTTGCAGTTCACTTAAATCTATCGTTTCCGGTTTTTTTACTCTTCGGTCTTTGTACAAAGCGAAATTTGTCCTTTTTTTCTTCTCTCTTTTTGAGTCATCTGGAACACTCATGTTAGTTTTAATTTATAAATCGCATGTATTTACAATTAAATTACAAATATATATATTTTTTCTAATCAGTAATTTCTGTAAGATCATTCATATGTTTTACGTTTTATTTACAAATATCGAACAAAACGGAAGAATAAAATTATTCGTTTTAAATTTCGAATATTCTAGCTGTAATTTCTAATTCATGATTTACTGTTTTATTTTATCATAGAAGGAAGTTCAAATTAAAAATAAAATTATGTTTTATTTTAAAGTTAATTGCAAAAAAAAAGCAAAGATATAAGCATATTATTGTGTGGGTTTACATAAATTTGATAGTCGTCAGTTTATCTACAGAACGCGCTTTTAGAGAATGTATCTTTCTTCGTCGCCTCCGACTCCTACTGTTTCGCAGGTGGCCTGATGCCTGAGCAATTGAGAAGCCGGTATCATGTCGCAGCAAAACTCGCAGGGTAGATCGACCTCTGGGCTGGAGGGTTGCTGATGCTGCGGAGCTACAAAGAACTCATCCAATTCCGGTGATTTCCTGCGCCGTGCAAGGTCAGGTCTGCAGCCAGTCTCGTGCTGCACCAGGTCCTCATGAGGGATTGGCGTGCCACAGAATTCACACGGTATCGTCAGCTCCGTTGGCGGATTGCGACGTCGCGACGGCGGCATTGGCGCAGGACCTGTAATAAATCGAGAATTAATTTAACGTGTTCTCATTGTAACCGCAATTATAGTTTGAAAACGTGCCTTTGTTATGGTTGAAGTGGTTGCGTGGTGAAACACCGCTTGACCTGAGCGGAGCGGTGATGCTTGCCGAATCGTGCAGCAGATTCCTAATGTACTCTGTTTTGCAGTCTAGACGCCTCGAGAGATCCTTGTATGTTTCCGTCTTCTCCTTAGAAGCGGCACCGGAAGATGAACTGTACCGACCACTGGTTGAGGGCGGGATGTAGTCGGCCATATTATAAAGTGGAGTCATATCGAAGGGCCGCAGTGTCGGCAATCTGCTGCGTCTCTGGTAGAGCGGTTCAGCCGTTGTGGCTGATGTCCTTTGCGTGGATGAGTCCCACGAAGCTCTAGGTCCTGGCTCTAAGAAATAAATATGCAAGCTATCAATAAATATGAAGATATCAAAACAAAAATAGACGGACCATCGTTCAATTTGATGAAGCCGTGGTTCGAGTCCTCGTGGATCTTTTTGTACTTGAACATGACAAATTCGCCGCACTCGTTGCATTTATCGGTGCGAGTACCACAGTAGTTCTCGTGCTCTTCCAAATCCAATTTAGGCAGCTCTAGCTCGCAATATTTGCAAGCCAGAAGATCTTTAGGTTTAGATTTGACCTGCATTCCAAGATTACTTGAGATCGTCTCCTGCTTAAACATCGTCTCCTTTACAATCCTCGCCTTCACTTTCTGCTTCGGAGGTTCCTCATCTAAATCCTTCTTCCTCGTCGTTGCACCCGAAGCACCACCATGATGTGTCCTCTTATGTTCCGCCAAAGAACTCTTTGGAACCGGCTCCTTGCACAGAGAGCAAAGAGCGATGTTCCTCGCACAATGGGCCATGTGCATTACATAATTCGTCTGCGGAATCTCCTTTTTGCTATATGATAAGTACAAAAAAAGAAGTGAATACGTATTCGAATCGAATTTTCGTCGAATAACCAAATTTGGACAAATAAAATCGTTTTTGCTCTATATTTGGCTCGACCGTTGGATGCTCACCAATTCGCGCAGAGCTCGTGCTCGATGGCCTCGGCCATCTCTTGTTCGTATACAGAGTCCACTCAACAGCAGACGAAGACCAGCGAGCTTTGGCACTTTTCGAACAAAAACCACGGCAATGACTTCTAATGCACTCGCAACAAAATACAACAGACGGTCCGAAGATGTTGTCTAAAAATATCGGTTTCACTTTGTGCACGTTTAGCATGAGTGTGTGGGAAATTATATTTAGAATTCACAGCTCTCGCGAACGAATAAAGGCTCATCCACGATAATTTACCGCCACCTTCCAAATGAATATCTAAAAGTACACTACGATCTGTAGATCACATACATAAACTCTCAGGAGACCCCAATTTACACTAACCAATACATAGTTATTTTAGAAAAATATGAATCATACTATAAATAATTGCAAATCTTTCAACTGGGATAAGAAAGGTTTTCCAAAAAATGGATAAACTTTCAAGTTGAATTTAAAACGGGTAAAATATTAAGACTTATTAATAAACAAAATTATTATCTATAATTTTATTCGTAAAATATTGATTTGTTTAAACAACGATGCATAACTTATTTCTTCGGATTTTCATCTAATGAATAGAAAAATTGATCCTCTTCGCCGTTGTCCTAAAGAAATAAAATGATCGTTAATCCATTAGGAAACCTTGTTTTTTTTTGTTTACCTCTGATGTCTTGGCCCAGAAGCATTCGGTAAAGAGGAAGGCCCGTTCGCACCTATCCACCGATTTTATAGCTGTACAGGTGTACATAATATACTCGAGTACCGGAGCCTGGATTGTACCGCTCTCCTCCAAAAGCGCTCGCATTTCGTGTAACTCAAAACCGCCTTCCTCGTCCATCCATCCGTATTGCGTGAATAGACAATGAAGGAAGCACTTAAAGTTATTGGAAGACTTCGATTTGCTGAGCTTCTTGTAAATAAGCACCTCGTTCATGGTCCCTGAAAGGTTTCTTATATTTAGATATTTGAATATAAAATCTTCGAAGAATTTCAAATTATTACTTAAACTAATAGGGGATGTCTGGTTGCATATTTTGATGAAATTCAAATCAGTCTCGAAATCGGCCAAGCAGATTGCCAAAATGCAAACCAAGAGCGCAACGCACTTCATCTTTTCACGAGAAAGAACTAACCGGGAATGGATGTAGATCGAGACCAAAATCAGTATTATCTTTGACTTCCGTTCGAAGCGTGGGATGAAGCAAAATTTCTTATCGGGTGAGTTCAATAAACTCTTTTTTTTTAAATATTTTATATTTTTTTTTTTAATTAAAATATGAAAACAATCATGAATTCTCCTCGGTCAGAAACTCCGAGTCCATTTTGTGGAACTTCTCCGTCAGGTCTTCGGGCACGTCAATCTCCTTCAAGTTGTCTGCGGAAATTTCATCTTCAGTTCTGCAAATACGTAAAAAAATATTAAACATTTGTTCTATACCATTTGAGTATTATTTATTTGTACCTGATCAGTATATCGACGAGATTTTCGCAAGCCAAAAGCGCTTTCCTATCCTTCTCCCATTTGTGCAATTCTCTCAAGATAATGTAGGCGTTCTTATCTCTCACATATTCCCTGTTCGCTTTGGCCGCGCATAGCTGAATGATAGCCTCCATAAGCATGCAGCGAATATCCGGATCTTCTTCGCGTTCCTTATCCTCGGGCAGGTACTGCAGTTCAGCAGGTAATTTATCGTTATCTTCGTCGTCGTACTCAGTGTTGCCTGCCAAGGGCAACAGCAACTTAGGTAATATATCCACACCATCGCTAAGTAACCAGCTATGATAATCGGCTTCGAAGCAGCAGTTCTTCAGTGTCCCGACTATACCGCCTCTGCGCACCACCGATTCTTTATATTCAGTGAACGCAATCAATCTCTGTATAACGCACTTGTCCTTATCCAAAATGTACTTCCGCACGGTTGGACTCTGCGATAAATTGGAAAGAACCGGCCCAAGGTAATGCAAATTGGCACCCTTGCTGTTGTACTTGTTCTTTGTGAAGGCATTTATAATCACATCAAAGGTAAATTCACTTTCCTCAATTGAACATATGACTTTTTCCACCAGCTGAGAATTCCTAGAGATGTTTGATAAGATCATACAGCATGGATCAGCAATATGAGAATCTTTATTGAGAATGAAATTCAGCACTGTTTTAGTTATATCGTTGGGGGCATGCACCAATTTATTAGTATGATATTTGGCTATGTCCAAGTTGATTAGAGCTGCAGCGCCCTTCGTTCCCGCCGAAATATTAACAAGAGCCAAACATGATTCCTTGGATACAGTCAAATTGGTATCCGAGAGTAGTGTTAACAAACTAAGTAATAATTCTGGAATATCAATTACAAAATCTAGACCCTCCTCGCTACCAGTCAAACCTGAAAGTAATTACTCAGTTTATTCAATAAATAGCAAAAGCAAATATTTACCCAAAACTTGTGAAAGTGCGTAATCCTTAAGATCCAATCTACTGCCTAACTGCAGATATTTAACTAACTCTTTGCAAGCTTCAGACATCTCGAACTGTATTTTACTATATTGGTTATTGTTGTTTCCGATCAAGCATGCTTCCAAATCCACTGTCAAAAAAAACATGAGAGGTATTATGCAACCAAAGTTGCTTTAGAAAACAGAATTTACCGACGTCCTCCCAGAATTGGTCGCAATCTTAAGTGCTAATCCAATAAATGAAACTAAATGGATTGTTGGAAGACGATTAAGAATGTAATTGGTTTTCCGTAGATTACAATGTATAAAGATGATAATATATGTATATAAAATTTGGTTGTATTAAGATTATATATATATATAAATTAGATTTTTTAAAATTTATTTGAACATATTATTTACAATTAATTGGTTCGCAAACGCCCGTTTGCGAAATCCGTCTGCATATGGGAAACTAAATGCCCGTAAAAATATACAAAATAAATTAATACAGTGTTTAAAATGTATACAAAATAATAATAATAATTAATCCATTAATTCAAATTTAAAGAAAAAAGAAAAACCTAATATGTCATAATAACAATTGTAGAATGGCTGAAATTTAGTTAATATAATAAACGTTACTAGCTCAGCTCCGCATTATTATTTTTTTATCAACTATTTCATTTGTTATGTAGTAATTTTGGTGTTCAACAATTGCACGCCCCGCGTGATAGAAAATCAGTCGCAGGTTTCTCTCCATATTGTGTGGAGCTGCTACAATGTTACTCATCTGTATCCCCAAACAAACAAACAAAACAAAAATAATACATGTAATAAATTTACTTTTTGACTTTGCTACTGCTGGAGGCGTTGCAATTCGGGGAGGTCGGAATGCAAGCTTTTTGTGGATCCTCTTCATCATCATCTTCTTCCTCTTCCAGCAACTTTCTTGCCAATTTCACAGCATAGAACTCGTTGTAATGTTTCTTACGCTTGTTCTCAAAATCCTTCTTCTGTAGCCTCTCCTCTTCAGTCAAATCATCATCTTCTTCCTCATCATCATCACTAGGCTGAAGTACTTTAGGCTTTGTGGCTGCACCCAAACGTATCCTAAAATACACAATAATCTTGAAAACAAGCTCTTGATGATTGTACAATTGTTTTATTAACCTTTCAGCTAGATCAGCTGCATCAAGGACATCTATGTCTTCAGAGGAATTCTCATAGTTGTATGGAGTCTTGGGCTCATCTATCTTCATGTGGCCATAGTCCTTGTCTGGAGGATGCAGTGTGGCTAGGATGTTCATCTCATCCCATTTCGCACCACCCTTGGCCTTCCTATTAAGCAAACAGATGACATTGCATACAAAAAGTCCATCCTTTGTTTTCTATTCAGCCACCAAAGGGCTGGGTTGTTTGAGGTTATGTCTTCATGGTAAGCAGTATTAAATGAAAGCGATGGCCGTCTGAAGAGACTTACTTGGGTTTGGATTGTTTATCCGGCACATCGAAGCTGCTCGAATTTTTCAGAATCCCTTTGCTGGGCTTCAGTTTCAAATTCTCGGCCATAATTTTGCTGTCACTGTCAAAAACATTAAAATGACTAATCCGCTCTCAATCACCGCTTATTTAAAAATATCGCGAAAACGTTCGTTGTGCGGGTCGAGGGGAGGCACACATTGTATACGCTCTGTTGCCACGTCCGCATTTTATACTTGTCCTTAGCACTAAAAAAAATGCAATCTGATTTTTACATTTCTTTCGTGTAATCATTGTATGTACTACAATCTTATTTAATAGATTCATTATCAATTTGCATACAATTGACAAACCAAAACTAATTGATTTTAATTGAAATTCGAATTTGTTTTTTGGCAACGTGGTAAAAGGGAATCGTCGCAATATTTGAATATTAGTTCTATTTTTCCTTTACGCTTGAATTTCATTACATCACACCCCTTCGGTGACTGAACAAAAAAAAGTTGAATCATTACAGAAGAGTCTCGAAATAGAACAGTAAAAATAACATTTTAGCAAAACATTAATTCACTTTCGTATAAACAAATTTAAATTAACATTACTCAACGCTGATTGATTACATTCAAATGCACTGATGATTTTCAGAAATTATTATTTCAGTTCCTACCCACTAAAAACGATTGATCAAATTTGTATAAGTGTATTTCAAGCTGATTCAGTCGTCATGCCGAATATCCACGTGTTGTTCATCCTTCAAAGTCGAATCCACCTATGTTGCATTTAGATGTCAACATTTTGGCATGTCTCAACTGTTTACTTCTAAGATTAGAAATGTATTTATTAATAATATATTATAATCTATTTAGAATAACATTACTAATTGAACGATTTTCCGAAAACGCTTAATTTAAGAGCGTAATTATATTTAAAATATATATTTTTTTTCGGTGGCAATCGAAATCCCGACTGTATCAAAATCCCGACTGTATCGAAATCCCGACAACCATAATCCCGACAGTATCAAAATCCCGACTGTATCGAAATTCCGACTGTTTCGTAATCCCGACAGCATCGAAATCCCGACAGTTTTAAATTATTCCGAAACGTAATCACCATCTACTATTATTTAATATTAATGACAATAATTTGAATTTAGAATATTTCTTAATTTTAAATTTTATTAAGGCAATGAAAACAAATACAATAATAAATATATATTGTTATTAATAGTTAATAACAACAATTAATAATCTAATTGCATTTAAGATTATTTCAAATTGTCAAGGTTTATTATGAATAATTCAAATGTTAGTGTATAAATTATAATAATAAAAGACACTGTCGGGATTTCGATACTGTCGGGATTATGGTTATCGGGATTTTGATATTGTCGGGATTTTGATATAGTTAGGATTTTGGTTGTCGGGCTTTCGATATAGACCCATTTTTTTCTAATATATAATAAAGATACTTATTGACCTCCAATAAAATTTGGTCCGAGTTTTGAACTTACCAACATCATAATAGATTGGAAGAACCGGCGCACTGGCATTATTACGGCCCTGGCAAAACACCCTGCATTCAATTATTTTGAATGCAGGGTTGTCCATTCGGTAAAGCCGGCCCTGGAATTCATAATCATTGCGCTATGAGCCGCCCGATTTTTATTCATTGAGTTCGAAATAATTTAGAACAAATTTTCTTCAACCTGAGATCCGTGAAAAACATTAACCAAAATCATGACGATTCGAAGAGACAATATTCAGTATTTCAAGTTTATAAGAAACACAAAAAATAAATATGTTGATACTTGGGAATGTGCAATACATACTAAAACAAGGTATCTTTTTAATTGAACCTGAAAGTCATATTTCAATTCCGATAATTCTTTTACCAAAGTTAATATTTTACTCGAATAATTGTTCAAGTTCTTTTCGTACTTTCCAAGTTCCAAAGGGCGTTAAGTAACATATGGTTTTCTGGCGAAGATGAAAGAAATAAACTCTCACATATGTTTTTTTTTGTAGGTGTTGAAAATGATCTGGATGAATTCCATTTTCGAAATTTCAAAATATCCAATTGGATAGATTTGTTCTCGATTATTGATTAAATTATTAAATCATAGTATAGTACTTTTTGTAGTAAAATGTGGAATAGTCGAATTCAGGTGTTGCTTCGATTAGCGTTCGCGATAATTAGTTGAGTGTGTAAGTATTTATCGATTCTCAAAATTCGTATTTCCATATGAAGCGTTGCATTTGCATATGAGGCACACATATGCACCAGAACGCGTACACGTATATTTATATATGCATGTGTGTGCAGACAGAGCAGTGGCATGTAGTGGGGACAGATGTGAGAGCATGCGCGCCTTCTTAAAATTAGATTCGCAGCGTATTAAGTTTCAGTTCGTTTCAGTTGCTGTGCAAGTCTTGTGTCGTGTTGATGTCTTGTCGCGTTTTTCAAATTTGATACATATTTATATATACAATTGGTGAAGATACACCGAGGAGGAGATAATAAACAAGGGGAAAGATAGAGAGAGAGAGAGAAAAGTATTTTTGTACGTACAGAGTTTTGGAAGATTGTTCGGTCTCGTTTTTTTTTTGTCTGTTTTCTCTTTCCTTTGATCGAAGAACCCCGGCGCACAAAAAAAGCAAAGAAACTAAAAGGCGAGGTAAGTTCATCCTTACCATCTTAATCTCACACCTAACCCTTTACATGCGGGCAGACACAGCCATCTTCCTGGGCTTCTCTCATTACCACATTATAATAATATTTTCTGCTATTCATCAAGACTTCAAGATTCTCTCCTAAGGGTGGATGACTTTACCTCGCGATGTTATCAGACTCTGTGTACGAACGAGTGTGTTTTTCTCTGAATATCTGTCGCCTCGTAACTATAACCCCACCCTGTTAAGTTTAGCCCCCATGTCTCGACTACGAAGAGAAACCGGTTGGTCTCTTCTCTCGTTAACCACCTCGAGAGAACAATGCTGCGAAACGCAAACAACAACAACAAATTAACATCTCGCCCAAATCGAATTCCAATTGGAAATTGCGAGCAACGCAACCCCTCGCACCTGTGCTACCGTCTACCATTTACCTGTATACTATGATGACAAATCATCATGAGGTGTTGCACTAGGCGTGGGCGACTTTTGGATAGGAGGCAACACGGGGGGCGCATTTCTATTTCTGGTATTCGACTTTACGGAAATTCAGTACTGTTACGGCCGACGTCCTGTATTTATAGCGCAGGGAATTTAATTCGGCGAGAGGTGAACGCTATTCGAAGAAGACCACAGGAATGAAGAGCAGAGATAGAGTATGGAGATAGCAGCTCCAGTTACCTCTACCTCGTCTTCTATTCAAATTCGTCTTCCCTACACACACACACACACACACACCGTACAAAACAACACTACACAATTTACTGTTCCGCTAAGCTGGCTCTCCGCATTCCTAATTAGAAAATGGATAATTATGCCCGCTTCTTCGCACACTCGACTCCACTGTTTCTATCTCTTCCCTTTTTTTTTTCGTTTCGTTCTATTCCCCCGAACAAAACAACAACAGCAAAATTTGGATAGTCCAAGCCTCTTCAACGGAGTTTAAAAATATATAATTACCTTATCTTTATGCCTCCTAGAAAACCACAAGAGCAAATCATTTACTCATTAAACGTTCACAATTTCTTAAGAAATCATTGCAATTTTACGTCCCAAGAACATTTGTTAAAACAACATCAACATAATTCAGCTGCATATTGAGCACTGAAGAAACAATTTCTATTCGATCGAAAAATAATTTTGTTTTCGCCATTCTGGGACGAATTACAATAAAAAAATAATTTAGTTTCAAATTTCCATAAAGACTTTCTCAAATTACTAATCATTTACTCAAAACAGAATATAAATCACTTGAGTGATCAAATTGAATAGTAGTTTAGCTGTAACAATAAAAACACAGTTTTTTTTTGGGACTGATGAAGGGCATAGATAATCATGGCCCTGAAGGAAGGACGCTCCAATACAGTTTCAATTATACAGCAATCCTCCATTCATCGCTTCCAATTAGAATCTCATATTACAATATGCATCCCACTGCTAATTGATATTTCAGCGTCGAATCGATGTAGAACGATAACAGAAGGAAACGTAAATTGAGATTTAATGAATCCCGTCCTCTAATTGGATATTTTAATAATATCGGAAATTGCTCATTTTATTTATCCAGTTCATGGATTTCAAAAATCATTTATTTAAGAATTAAATTTGAGTTGATTTAACTGAAAGTTTAAAAAAAAATAGACTAAAATATCATTTATCGAAATTGTCGACTATCTGTTATGCTAACTAATGTTATAGTTGTAGTTACACGTTTAGGTCCGGCATAATCTATAACTTAGTACATTTTTGTTGTTGTTATGACTTTCAGGAGTAGTAAAAGCGAATCTGCACAAAGCATCAATTGTGTGCAAGTGAATTTGTTGTACCTGCACAATTCGCGTCGCACAAGGAGATGTGGTTGAAGGACGAGCGAGGAAAAGGTCTAACGCTTCTGGTAAACAATGCGTTTCCATAAGCAATTTGTTTTGCTCTGCTCCTGCGATGAAAGTTTTTTTTTTATTATTTCTTCCTTCTTCGGATTAGGGTCATCGTCATCTGCATTTCGTGACCCGGTGTGACTCAGAGTCTAGCGATTTTCGCATCTCTCTCATCGTTTTTTTTTCAGAAAGCTTTCATCATCTCATCGTCAGTTCCCGTAAAAAAAATCGCACATTTTGATTAATTCGGTGTTATTAATTGTGACATTTCAAGAGTGCACGGTTCGCTTGGCGTACGTTTCTTCCATTTCTATAATATTCAACAACAGTTTTCGTTCCCAATTTATTGCCGATGAATATGGATGAGGAAAGAGGAAGTAGAAAGAAAACGTATACAAATTACATATACACACACAAGTCTGCTGCACTTAAATTTTGAGTTTTAACAAGGAATATTTGAATAAATTTATATTTCTCAGAAATTATTATTATTAATTATCAAAATCGATTGCTTATTATTACATTGCAATTGCCTTTATTATTATTACGAGACACGTTTTTGCATTGGAAACGCCTCGACACTTGATAATGTTTGCATTCGTCATATTTACATTGTATTTCGATAGTTTATTGTTTGCTTTATATTTAAAGCCTATTTACTAATACTTTGCATTTGCTACTTGCATTTCAGCTGTTAAGTATGCTAGTGTTTTATATTTGATTTGTACCTTAAATTGTCTAGAGTAAACTGTTCACTTATTCTAACTAAATACGCTTAATAATTATTTTAAAAGTTGTCACTTCTTACTTGAGAAAAAGTAGTGGTTATAATGCATGCGTTTCTCTTGGATGTAATTTACGTAAATGTTACTTTAATGTTATAAATCGTCTTCAATTACGTTTTTTTTTCACGTTAATGAAGGTGCGTCGGTAGCAATCTGCGCGATGATTTGTATTCGCGTGTCGGCACGACATACAGTGTGTATGTGTCATTGTTTCGGGTGCGATTAGAAGTGAAACAACGTTTTGATTAATTAAATTAGTTGCTTAAAGAGCTGTTCGTGGGCGGAATTGTATATGTAATGAGTTATATAAATATACACGTTTGTTTGTGGATCAGGACTGCGTGTGTTAACGACCGACGTTCCTTCTTCTTCTTTTTTTATATTCTCGTACATGCGGATACGCCGCAGCCTGATCTTTTTGTTCTTGCTGTTTTTTTTGTTGTTGTTTTTTTTTTGGTTGATGGATTCAGTTTCGATCAGAATGGTTTTGTGAATCGAATCGATTTTCAGATGATGTTGAACATGAATTTGGGTCGTATGGGATATCCCATTACCGGAACGCTAAATTTGTGTCGTAAAGCCAATGTGGAAGATGAAGAAAGGCAAGCGAAAAAATATAAATAGACCATCATCGTCCATCTGAATGCTGTTGGCCCGAGCGACGTGGATTCCTCGCTCCAGGTGAAATCTGGAGCGCTTCACGAAATTTATACCTACCGTCTTGAAAGCGACTGCACATGCATATTTATGATGGTCGAAAGAAGTAATTCTTTTTATTTTCTTTTCACCGGCACAACACGCGAAACCTATTTGCTTTGCACTCGATTAGCCCGCACTTTTCTTCGTTCCGGCGTTTTCTCCTGCTTCAAAATTTCTTCTTTT